CCGGTCCTTGGACTGGTACCGGGCTGTGACATGCCAGCAACCGGTCCGTACAAACAAGCAAAGCCCCATCCGTGAGATGCAGGCAGCACACAAAACCATGCACCCTCTGGACCGTGAAAAAACCTCTCTCCACGGAACCGATCCCTGGTGCCCAAAAGGTTGGGGACCTCTGCTCTAAAGGATAGAAAGATGGAAAGCCTTGTCTAATAAATGGTGGAGAGTATTGGAAAGGGAATAAAATCCACACCATTCCGGACAATTGCTTAGCAGCAGTTCCAACAAGGCAATTGTATTCTCTTTCATTGCAAAGAGCAGCCCCAAGTGAAGCCACCTGCAGGAGTCCAACTGAGTGATGCCAAAGAATGGATCACTCGTCCAGGAATAGCATATCCCCTAAAATGGTCAAAAGCTCTATAAGGCGCTGTGGAAGCTGTTTCTACCTGCTCTTTCAGCAGAAGCTATGAACCTTCAGAGTAGCTTTCAGGGAAAGTGTAAGCCCTTCTAGAGCAATAGACGGAATATCCATGGCTTCTGTATTGACAGTAATTTTGTCTTGCTAGGATTCAGCCAGTTTCATCCCATCCAGTACCTCATGGACTCTAGCAATTCTCCACTATATCTCCAGCTCAGCCTGGGATAGAAATGCAAAGCTAGATATCATCATGTTGATACCAAATACTCGATGGGTAGTTATTCCAAAGAGTTTGTGCAGAAGTTAAACAAGATGTGAGAGGATCAATTTCTGGGGTCCTCCAGACTGGGGTGCCCTAGGGCAAAACCACTCCTCCTGCAACTAAATCAGAAGGAACTTCCAGGAAAGATCAGAACTCTTGCAGAACAGTTTCTTCAATCTGCAACCCTCACAGATGGCCCAAATGAATGCCATGATTAATTGTATTAAATAATACTGAGAAATATACTTAAAAAGAACAGATGTACTGTGCTCCTGAAAGACTTGCTACAGGTTATCCACAAGAACAACCAATCTGGTTTGAGTTTTTTGTGTTCAACTACAGTATTTTCCCAAAAGGATAAGTACCAATTAGCCAGTATTTCTTTAAATTCTAGACCAGTGGTGGCGAACCTATGGCACGGGTGGTGGCACTTGGAGCTCTCTCTGTGGGCACATGTGCCGTTGCCCCAGCCTTGCTTCCCCCTGTGACCCCCTCTTCTCCAGAAGCCCCCCTGAAGGAGACTCGCCCGTGAGCGTGGCCCACACAGAGCAGCACAGCCAAGGACATGGCAGCCAGGCAGTGTAGACAAAACTCTGCCCTCACACCCCATCGTGCACAGTTGATGCTGCAGGGAGTGGGCAGAGGGTGTGGCCGCCATAGTGCTGCTGGACTGCCTGGGCGGGCCCTGGAGGCGGTGAGTGGTCCTGTGGGCAGGCGGGGTGGGGGATGGGAGGGCAGAGTGGGGGTGGGGCCAGTTTTTGGGCACTCGATCTCTAAAAGGTTCGCCATCACTGTTCTAGACAGACAAATTGGAAATATGGTAGGGATTATTTGTATTTTTGTCTCCCAGTAGATTTGAAAACAGCCAACAAATTGTAGGCGTGTTTAACCTGGATTAACTGGATTGGCAGATGAGTGGACCAATTCTCAAAATTCCCTAGCCAGTACGTCTGGTTGAGGAATTCTGGGAGTTTAAGTACACTCAAAGTTGCTAAAACTGAGAAACACTGGTCTAGATGCAAGAGAAAGTCTCCAGGGCAGCACATAGCAATTTTTGTTATGAACTTGAGGTCTCCTTCGGAAGAAGCATGTGTTTTGCCACTGGAGTACTAGTTCCTCCCAGAGCAACAGACATTTAAAACTGAATTGAAGAAGTCTCTCTGCCCGTAAATGAAAGCAGGAAGGAATACTGGATGTAATACAGGCAAAAACAGAATAAACCTTTCCACAACATTACAACTAACAGGTGGGTACATTTCAGTACAGTCTTTGTATTTTTAATTGAAAATCAATACAATATTTTAGCAAAAGTTTTAAAATATACATTTTAAATATGAAATAGAATACAGTACCAACAGAAAAAAGATAGTGAATATACAAGAAAAATATATACCTAGATATATTATGATTGAGATAAACTAAACATCACAAAAAGAGAAAACAAGTTAATAGAAAAAATGATTTTAAAGAGCTATATTATTATAGCCACTAATAATACAACAGAATTAATTCAGCCCTTATCTTTATCATTAAATCTATGCCATAGAGATACATATTACTTCACTTCTCATCTCTGGAACACAGAGTGTTTTCAAAAATAGACAACATACTTAAGCTAGGATCCATTTTTAAAATTAGGAAGGCAGATTTCTTTACATGAAGGTAAAATTATCTTGTCATGCTGAATTTCAATAGAGCCAAAACTCTTTAGGAGACGAGAGATTCCATTCTTTATGTATACAGTTTTATATTAATATCCTTCACTTTATTTCTTCCCAAAATTATTCTAATGGATGTAATAATGTGAAACCAAACTGATTCTAGCTGGACAGGATCAGTTCATAAGAATTTTCAAATTTCTTGCTATGCCAACAGACAAAAATCTAACATATCACCCTTTTCAAAAATACTTTGAGAGGTCCAATAAACATGATGATGATGATGATGATGATGATGATGATGATGATGATGATGATGATGATGATGATGATGATAATAATAATAATAATAATAATAATAATAATAATAATAATAATAATAATAATAATAATAATAATAATAATAATAATGTTGGAAGGGACCTTGGAGGTCATCGAGTCCAACCCCCTGCTCAGGCAGGAAATCCTATACCATTTCTGACAGATGGCTGTCCAGTCTCTTCTTAAAAACTTCCAGTGTTGGAGCATTCACCGCTTCTGGAGGCAGGTTGTTCCATTGGTTAATTGTTTTAACTGTCAGGAAATGTCTCCTTAGTTCTAGGTTGCTTCTCTCCTTGATTAGTTTCCATCCGTTGCTTCTTGTCCTGCCCTCAGGCACTTTGGAGAATAGCTTGACTCCCTCTTCTTTGTGGTAGCCCCTGAGATATTGGAACACTGCTATCATGTCCTCCCTCGTCCTTCTCTTCGTTAAACTAGACATACCCAATTCCAGCAACCGTTCATCATATGTTTTAGCTTTCAGTCCCCTAATCATCTTTGTTGCTCTTCTCTGTACTCTTTCTTGAATCTCAGCATCTTTTTTACATCGTGGTGACCAAAACTGGATGCAGTATTCCAAGTGTGGCCTTACCAAGGCATTGTAAAGTGGTATTAATACTTCACATGATCTTGATTCTATCCCTCTGTTAATGCAGCCCAGCACTGAGTTGGCTTTTTTGGCAGCTGCAGCACACTGCTGGCTCATATTTAAGTGATTGTCCACTAGGACTCCGAGATCTCTCTCACAGTTACTACTATTGAGCAAGGTACTCCCTATACTATACCTGTACATTTGGTTTTTCTTGCCTAAATGTAGAACCTTACTTTTTTCACCATTGAATTTCATTTTGTTAGATATTTTTGAGGAATTAGTATTATAAATCATAAGAATTATATGGTTGTTGAATCATTGATTCTCCAAAATTTGGTATTATCATTTTTATTACAAAATAGAGATATATAACTAATACTGGCTTTCATTTACTTTTAAATTCCTATTAATATTGAATTTTGGTTTTATTCAAGTACTACTTCTGTTAAAGATATTTAAACTGTAGGTATCTTGTTAAGAAAAAATGTAGGGAAGTCACATCTCTCAATATCTTCAAAATAATCATTAGGAATCTATTTAAAGTATTGATCCCTTGTTTGGTCTAAGCATTCTAATAAATATTTTACTAAATCTTTGCACTATTTTCAAATTTGTGTCATTCACCACAACAATTTCTCATGATTTGGAATCAAAACATCAGTATTTAAGGAAGGAAGGAAGGAAGGAAGGAAGGAAGGAAGGAAGGAAGGAAGGAAGGAAGGAAGATTTCTATTTAATGTACCTGGATCCTAAAATGTGTTAAATTTTCAGAACTGTAACAAACTTACTTTCCAAAAAGACCCATGGAGAAGAATATTCATAACTTTTTTTTCTAAAAAAATTTGTTGTTAAAATAAATGCCCAAATATGTAGTTGAGGCTTAGTCTATAGCCATGATAATTGTAAGTAACCTCAATTTAGCCAATTTAGCCAAGAATACTCAAGGGCTTTAGCCTGCCATAAAACATTTTCTCAATAACTCTTTATGTATGAAAATATCTAATGGGGTTAATATTGGTTACTTTAATATATATTAAGCTCCATGTAATACTTGTTTTGATAACTGTACTAAGTATATTAAATGCAATATTATTGTACAGTCCACTGAGCCATTCCTGCTTCCTGGTGACCACATGGAAAAGTCCCTACAGTTTTCTTGGGAACATTTCCAGAAGTAACTTCCTAGAGCTGACAACTGAGGGATAATGAGAAGCCCAAAGTTACCATATGTAGATTAGATTAGAATTCATGCTCTCCTGGCTTCTGGTCCAGCACCTTAAACAAGGGAGCAAACACTGGAGAAGAATAACTCCTTCCAAATTTACTTAACCTCCACGTTTCTTTATCCAAAGTGTGGGGTCTGATAAAGTATTTACGGTTTATCCTTCTGGCATTAAATATAGGTAAAGCTATGTAAAAACAGAAGGACATATTGCTGATATGATTTGAAACAATGGGAATCAAGATATTAACATAATTCAATCCCAGATTTATAATAATAATAATAATAATAATAATAATAATAATAATAATAATAATAATAATAATAATAATAATAATAATAATAATAATAATAAAGTTGGAAGGGACCTTAGAGGTCATCAAGTCCAACCCCCTGCTCAGGCAGGAAACCCTACACCATTTCGGACAAATGGCTGTCCAGGCTTTTCTTAAAAACTTCCAGTGTTGGAGCATTCACCGCTTCTGGAAGCAGGTTGTTCCATTGGTTAATTGTTCTAAGTGTCAGGAAGTTTCTCCTTAGTTCTAGGTTGCTTCTCTCCTTGATTAGTTTCCATTCGTTGCTTCTTGTCCTGCCTTTTGGTGCTTTGGAGAATAGCTTGACTCCCTCTTCTTTGTGGCAGCCCCTGAGATATTGGAACACTGCTATCATGTCACCCCTCGTCCTTCTCTTCGTTAAACTAGACATACCCAATTCCAGCAACCGTTCCTCATATGTTTTAGCCTCCAGTCCCCTAATCATCTTGCTCTTCTCTGTACTCTTTCTAGAATGAATACATAAATAAGTAAAAGCATATCATAATCAGTTGGATTTAATGGAAGTAAAGGATACTTATAAGTTGAACATTATTAAACAGAAACATTTTGAGAAAGGTAAGGATGAAGATAAAGTAAGGCTTATGAAGTGCAGAAGAAATACAGTAAAAGAATCGTTACCTCCATTTGGGATGGAATGAGATAAGTTTTTACAACAAAGAAAATGAGGAAGCAGTTTTAAATATTATTTTACATTATAAAATAAACAGAAATCTGATCTGGAAAAGGATCAGACAATATTTGAACAAAACTTTGCTTGCAAAATTTGCTGATCTCAAAAAGAAGTTTTTAATTATCCTGTAACTAAAATTGAAACTAACTAACGAGTCAAAGAGATTTTAGAAACCTGTGTCTATTTTTTTTAATAATTTTAGCAAATAGTCAAAATGTATGTGTCATGAATTTAAATTGGAGATATATACATTTTATTTAAAGTATGTACTGACATAAAAGTCTAACATTTTATTCCATAGTTAGGAACCTTTGATTTAAGAATACAGAGTAAAAATTCTTACTTGTGTCTTGTTTTCCCCATTTTGTACAGTACATGAATGCCAAATTTTCTAACTGAACTTAGACAGATAGAAAATTTAGCATGCAGACAGGAAGGAACATCTATGAAGAACTGCATAGCAAGCAGGCAACCTAAAGGAAGGTTTAAAGCCATCATTTTCTTTCTTTCTGCAAAACATAGTAATTGGGTTTCTATTCTCTCAATGAATCTACACAAAATAGGTGAAGTCTTACAATTCTTACAGAATTGTGTAACGGGTGGAAACTAATGGGTGGAAACTAACCAAAGAGAGAAGCAACCTAGAACTAAGGAGAAACTTCCTGACAGTTAGAACAATTAACCAGTGGAACAACCTGCCTCCAGAAGCGGTGAATGCGCCAACACTGGAAGTTTTTAAGAAGAAACTGGACAGCAATTTGTCCGAAATGGTATAGGGTTTCCTGCCTGAGCAGGGGGTTGGACTAGATGACCTCCAACTTTATCGTTATCATTATCACTATTATTATTATTATTATTATTATTATTATTATTATTATTATTATTATTATTATTATTGATTTATTCTGCAATCATTTTTTTTGACATTAAAAAATGCAGATGGAGAAGAATTCACAGAACAAAAAAAAGTCTGTAATGAAAGTAAATTGATGTTTGGGCCGGAAAATTTGGTTTTCTAGACTAAAATCTGCATAAAATATTTTAAGTTGTTGCATTTCTCTTCAAACTTAACCAATGACCAAATATATGTATGTACGGTATGTATTTTAGTAAATTCCCATTATTCCTAGAGAACAGCAAATCTCTCATGTACACTAATTGTCATGGTCCCTTGATGCACTGCTTTATTTTATTAGACAGACATAAAGTTTTGATGAAATAAATGGGGCTATGTTATGTTTGCATTGAATATGCTCCCCCCACATTTTATTATCTTTATTGCATTTCATTAGAACAATTTGTTTCTAATTCTTTCAGTTGGCTTTGCTTTGGATGACTAACATTTCTGCTGATTATGAAGAGATATTTGGTTTTCTATTTGTTTATTAGTTGTTGTATGCCACCCAGAGTCACTTTATTGTAAGATGGATGGTCATATCAATGTGACAAATACATAAATAACTACATAAGTTACTGATATGAAATGGACTAACAACACTGCAGGAAAAAATGGGTTTCATAGTGATAAATAGAGAAAAAAAGAAATGCATGTAGATCAAGGATATTTGGTAAATGTAAATACTAAAAAGCAGAGACATCACCCTGCCAACAAAAGTACGTATAGTCAAGGTCATGGTTTTCCCAGTTGCAGTGTATGGCTGTGAAAGTTGGACCATAAGAAAGGCTGAGCGCAAAAGAATGTAGGCCTTTGAACTATGGTGCTGGAGAAGACTCCTGTGAGTCCCCTGGACTGCAAGGCAATCAAACCGGTCAGTCCTAGCGGAGATCAACCTTGACTGCTCTTTAGAAGGCCAGATCCTGAAGTTGAAACTCAAGTATTTTGGCCACCTAATGAGAAGGAAGGACTCACTGGAGAAGGGCCTAATGCTGGGGCAATAGAAGAAGGGGATGACAGAGAATGAGCTGGCTGGCTGGAGTCACTGAAGCAGTAGGCGTGAGCTTAAATGGACTCCAGAAGATGGTAGAGGACAGGAAGGCCTGGAGAAACGTTGTCCATGGGGTCGCAATGGGTCGGACACGACTTTGCAGCTAACAACAACCATTTAACCCTATCTTTTATAGGAATAATTGCATTTCAGATATTGAGTCTATTTCTTTTTTTTACAGCAGTGGATGTGATTGATATTCATTGCTCCAGACATACTGTAGTTGACAGAATTTCCCTCTTGTGCATGTAAAATGAGACCGGGAAGCTATAATCAAACTTATGCGTCTGAATTCCATCTGCTTGGCCTTTCCAGAAGCTTGAAGATCCGTCTTTTATTGCTTGGACTTTTCTCAGTTGTCTATGCTCTCACTCTCGTGGGCAACACAATCATCTTAATGCTCATATGGTTGGATGCCCAACTCCACACCCCCATGTATTTCTTCCTGAGCCATCTGGCCTGTGTGGACCTCTGCTATACTTCCAGCACCGTTCCCCAGATGCTGACCAACCTTCAAAGCCCAGGACAAGCCATCTCAGTGGTTGGATGTGCCATGCAGATGTACATCTTTCTGGCCTTGGCCACAGCAGAGTGTTTTCTCCTGGCAGTGATGGCCTATGATAGATATGTGGCAATATGCCATCCACTGCACTACACAGTCCTCATGAACAAAAGAATGTGCATCTTTATGGCCATGACATGCTGGACTAGTGGCCTTGTCCTCCCAGTGGCCCATATAGTTCTCACTTGGCAGTTGCCATTCTGTGGCTCTAACCTGATAGATCACTATTTTTGTGAAATGCCAGCTTTGCTGAAGCTGGCATGTGCTGATACCAGAGTTATTGAAAAGATTACCTCTGTGGGGTGCATTTTTACCTTGCTTATTCCTATCACTTTTATCACAATGACTTATATCCGCATTCTAGCAGCCATCTTGAAAATCCAATCCACACAAGGGCAGCACAAAGCTGTCTCCACATGTGGTTCCCATATGATAGTTGTAGCATTTTTCTATGGCAGTGCCATAATTATGTACATGAGACCTGAATCCAGTCACTCTCCAGGCCAGGACAAAATGATTTCTCTGTTTTATAGCATTGTCATTCCTTTGTGCAATCCCATTATTTACAGTTTGAAGAATAAGGATATGAAAACAGCTTTGGCTAAAATCCTGCAGTTCTGAAAGCTTTGTGGAGTGCCAAACAAACAAATAAGATGCATTGTAGTGGTCTATAAACTCTGGTCTGTTTCTTCTTTTGGGCAACAGTTCTTTATGGTTTCAGGCAGGATCTTTCTGCTAACTTTTATTGTCACTTTTTTATATATATTATTCTGTCGGTCTTTTATTTTTATTTTCTACTATTACTATTGTTTTAATGCTTTTATTTGCAGGTCTGTGACCGTGATAAAGATTGATTGATAGGGATTACAGGGTCGTAAAAAGGGAGTTTTACTCATGATAAAGACTTAATTTGAAATCTTCTAGGATAGTGGTGGCGAACCTTTTAGAGACTGAGTGCCCAAACTGCAATTCGAAACCCACTTATGCATCACCGGGTGCCGGGGGTGTGGCCACCGAGTGGGTGTGGCTATGGTGGTCATGCTGCATGGGTGGGCGTGGCACATGTGCAGCTTTGTGGAGAGCTGTGCATGCGTGGAGAGGAGGAGGGAGCAGCTCAGCGCAGCAAAGGCTTGCGTGCCACCAGAGACGGCTCCGCGTGCCACCTGTGGCATGCATACCATAGGTTTGCCACCACGGTTCTAGGAAATAGTTGTTCAGATTTGTGATCCCATTCTTTCTAGAATTAAGTGAGAATCTACTTGAAAATTTTGAAACAAAAACTTCAGTCATTACATTCATTAAATAAATGTTTACTGAAAAAAATACTGTAGTGCAGTAGCAACAGGAGCTGACATGTACTGAGGTTACTTAAATAAATTGGAGATTTGCAATATAATGCTACTATTTTGTTCTGGTTTCTCAGGGCATACCTTCATAGGATCTTTGCACCACTCCGAGATAAATTTTGCATCGATTTGAACTCTGCAATTGTCATTAGGGCTCAGCTCCTGAGCTGATTTATTTCTACTTGCGACACGGTGGTTTCCTTACAGGTGCCCCTCATGCTAGGGATTCATTGGCTGTGGCTACCTAATCCAGGTGTGCACTGGAAACCAGAAACGATTTCTTTCCTTTACCAAAATATCAACAACACACTGAGAGGTCTTTATGCTTTTATTTGAAGCATGCTGTAAGGGACAGAAAGATGGAAAGCCTTGTCTAATAAATGGTGGAGAGTATTGGAAAGGGAATAAAATACACACCATTCCGGACAATTACTTAGCAGCAGTTTCAACAAAGCAGTTGTATTCTCTGCCATTGTAAAGAGCTGTCCCAAGTGAAGCCACATTCAGTAGTCCAACTGATTGATGCCAAAGAATGGATCACTCACTTGTCTGGGAATAACGTATCCACTATAAATGGTCAAAAGCTCTTTTAGGCATAGCTTCCACCTCAGTGGTGGGATTCAAATATGTCAATAACTGGTTCTCTGTGTGGATGCCGCTTCCAGAAGTCCATTCTGGGCCTGGGCAACAAAAAATTAGCTACTGATTCTGCCAAAGTAGTACAAACCGGCTGAATCCCACCACTGTTCCACCTGCTCTTTCAGCAAAACCTATGAACCTTCAGAGTAGCTTTCAGGGAAAGTGTAAGCCCATCTAGAGCAATAGCCGGAATATCCATGGCTCCGGTATTGACAGTAATTTTGTCTTGCTAGGATTCAGCCAGTTTCATCCCATCCAGTACCTCATGGACTCTAGCAATTCTCCACTGTATCTCCAGCTCAGCCTGGGATAGAACTGCAAAGCTAGAAACCAGCATGTTGAGACCAAATCCCCGACAGGTAGTTATTCTAAAGTCTTTGTGCAGAGGTTAAACAAGATGTGAGAGGATTAATTTCTGGGGTCCTCCAGATTGGGGTACCCAAGGGCAAAACCACTCCTCCTGCAACGAAATCAGATGGAACTACCAGGAAGGATGAGAACTCTTGCAGAAAGTTTCTCCAACCTGCAACCTTCACAGATGGCCCAAATGAATGCCATGATTAATTGTATTAAATACTACTGAAAAATGTCGCACACACAAAAAAAGGTGCATTGTACCCCTGAAAGATTTGCTACAGGTCATCCACAAGAGCAACCAATCTTTTTCACCCAGGATCCCAATCATCTTCCCAAGAAATGAATTGGAGATTGGAGACTGTTTTCTAGGATTGCTGAGTAAAGATATAGCTTTTTGAGAAAGGCTACATCTTAACCTCCTTCAAGAGACCCACCTGGACATTTTAACTTGAAGGAGCAATCTATACTCTCTTTAGAAGGAATTCCCCCACCTAGTATCCTATTCTAGCAATATCCTGGCATGACTGTGTAAACAGCCTCAAGTATAGGATTGATGGTACATCCAAATTTGGTAGGATATGGATGTTTACTACAGTGGTGAGCATAGAAACTGAGGGGAATGCTAAGATTTTTACATTATTATTGTGAAAAGAGGACAAAGGTACATTTTGGGGCACAGCCCTGAAGGAGGAGGAACATTAATTGATCCAAAAGAATAATTTATGTTTTCTGTGTTCAACTACAATATTTACCCAAAAGAACAAGTACCGATTGGCAGTATTTCTTTAAATTCGAGACAGAAAAATTGGAACTATGTTAGGGAACATTAGTACCTTTGGCTCCCAGTAGATTTGAAAACAGCCAATTGTAGGTGTGTTTAAACTGGAGTGACAGATGGAGAGGTTGATTATATGAAGAGCACTCGCAGTAGTCAAATTTTGAGAGGACCCTTTGACTTCAATAGTTCTCTGCTGTATACGTGATGGTCTAGATCGGTGTTTCTCAGCTTTAGCAATTTTAAGATGAGTGGACTTCAATTCCCAGAATTCTCTAGCCAGTACGGCTGGTTGAGGAATTTTGGGAGTTGAAGTACACTCAAAGTTGCTAAAACTGAGAAACACTGGTCTAGATCTAAGAGAAAGTCTCCAGGGCATCACACAACAATTTTTGTTATGAATGCTCCACTGACCTTGAGGTCTCCTTCGGAAGAAGCATGTGTTTTGCCACTGGAGCGCTAGTTCTTCCCAGAGCAGCAGACATTTAAAACTGAATTGAAGAAGTCTCTCTGCCCATAAATGAAAGCAGGAAGGAATATTGGAAGGAATACAGGCAAAAACAGAATAAACCTTTCCACAACATTACAACTAACAGGTGGATGCATTTCAGATGCTGATAGGGTAAGATTAAAAAAGAGCCTTGTTACTAAATAACGTAGATCATAAAGAGAAAGGAATATATCTGTGATTCAGGATTTAAATCTGAGGAAGCTGCATCTTTGCAACACTGAATCTTTTTTGCTATCTGTGATGGCCCCCTCCACAGATAGCAGATTTGCTGTCCCTGCAAAAGGGTATAAAAGAGTTCCACGCCATTTTGTTTTGGGGTTCTGTTGGAGATTCAATAAAGAAGCAACTGTTGTTACTCTGCCTCATCTCAATGCCTTACCAACGCATAGAACAGAACACTCATCTTCACCTTCTTTCCAAGGCAGCCCTTGAGCTCAAACTCAAACCTCCCTTTACTACCCTGGCTCCACATGGGCAGAGCCTGGGAAACCCATCCACAGACACAAGGGATCTGCTGCCGGCAAAATGGGGCTTACCGGTCTCTGTCCATTGGAGAGGTTAGCTCTCCATCCTGGTTCATCCAAGCTGGGAATAAAAATGGCAACTGCTTTGGGAAGAAGGTTGTAGTTTATTGGAGAGGAGAGCCAGACAGGAAGATGGTTCTGGCAGCAAGAGAAGTGAAAAAAGGGACTGAGCACATGTAGGAAGTAGGTTTTTTTATACCCTCTGGAACCTTTTGTTTGGAGTTATTTCCTGTTCCTGTTTTGAGGCTATTTCCTGTGTCATGTATTCTGACCTGAGTTTGGGTGTGTCCTTTGGCCTTTGTGAGTTAATCCTACCATGTCCTGTCCCAGGTGCGGTATGCAGATTTTAGGTCTTTGTCTTCTTAATCTCCTAGCTCCCTGGATTTACATCTGCATCTCTACAGAGCTTGTTTCTGCTTGGGGGAGGCAGATTTGGGGCTATTAAGAAAAACTGGGCATGCTTTTCTGTCTCTTTAAGATCCTTGGAGGAAATATATTTTTCTGCCCTTTTAATATTTCCTTCTCTGGGGGGCTGACTTCCCACAAATACATAAGGGATCTTGGTGTTATATGGCGTTTTTAGAAATTGCTCATAAAAGACGAGTTGTTCATTTTCTATTGTTAAAGTGAAATAACAGGAAACAAAGAGAACTCATCTCTTAATGACATTTCATTGCGATTGTGGAATACTAACAATCCTGGATACCTGATGACCAGGAAATAAACTATCCTCAATCTAGTACAATCCAGAAGATACATTACACATCCCCGTATTTCTCAAATCTAATAGATTGGAACAGCACGGACATCCAATGGGCATGTGTGTGCGTTTGTGTGCAAATACTTTTCCCTTGTTGCACTGGCAACTTCCTCTGAACAAAGCCAGTTGTCGCTGTTATAGTTCTTGCTGCTGCCGTCGCCCACATGTCATTTCCCCGCCTTCCTCCGCGTCCCGAAAGGCATCGCCGGAGTGAACTCTGGAGGGGGTTGGCCTCTGAAAGGTGCATATGACAGACATAAAGCACGTCTTTGGGGTTGTGGTGTCATGTTGACCAGCAGGCTCTCTCTCCTGGACCTGGCTTTCCGACGGAGCATGGCTTCTGCACCCCAGAACTCTGGGGTCAGCAAGAAGAAGGTGGAGTGTTTCTACGATGTCGTGTCCCCCTATTCCTGGTTTGGCTTTGAGGTAAGCACACTGCAAAAAGCTGTATTAAAGCAAGCCATTCCTTCTTACCTTGTGTCTTTCAAATCAAGCAGTATGTATGTTGCTCGGAAGCCTACTACCTGTAGGCTAGGGCTTCAGTCCGATTTGTTGCTGTGCTAGCTGCAATTTGGAGTAGGCGAGCAGTAACATTTTTGCAGGGTTTTTTTTAATATGCACAATATACACTTAGAAAAGTTAATCTGCATTACAAAAGAAACGCACTTTGATTCCTGTATTGCAGCTTCAGATGATCCGAACTTTCTTG